CCCCTCACCAGGCTTCCTCTTTCTGCTTCTGGGGATGGTGGGGGAAGTTGATCAAGAAGTCCCATGACTCAGTGGGACTTCAGATGGGGAAGGTATAAAAAACCCCCACCCCTCAACAAGAGATCTTGGAGGCACCAGGAGAGGGGTCACAGTCTGTCACAGTTGCTACGTGTGCATGGTCGGGTCCGGTCATGGTACCCTGTGAGACCTGAGACCTGTTGTTAGCACAGGCAGCTCCCAGGAGGACTTCCTGATTTACATCCCTAGCGGGCCATGGGATCAGCCAGGAGCACTGCATGACCTCCTGGGATCCTTCATTCTCTTCCAGCGTAAGAGGTCCCATAGCATGTGTGTCTAGGGAGGATGTACAGACAAGAGAAAAGAGAGGGGAGCACCAGGAGGAGGAAGTATTTCCACAGTATTATAATAATTATAATGATTTTTCAATATTATTGCAGTTTAGCTATTAAATTGTTCCTATCTCAACCCACAAATCTCTTTGCCATTCACCCCTTTAATTCTTTCCCCCATCCCTGGGAGGGGGGAGGGCGAGTGAGCGGTTTTTGTGGTGCTGGGCTGCCAGAAAAACTACAACAGAACCAGGTACCTGTTAAAAATGAGATTTGAATGTGCCCCTCCAGCAGACTCTGCAGTTTGAATGCAGCACCTTGGCCTGCTTGGCTACCCGCTAGCTCACTGCCTGCTGTTGGAGACGAGATGAAGCTTCAGTACAGCCTTATTCCTATTCTGACAGTTGCACGTAGAGACCTGGGCTAAGTTTGCTCCCATGTGCTTAAAGGAATTTCCTAAACTCCCAGGCCAACAGTTTCTAAAGAGGCTTCTGATTTTGGATACCTAGACTTTGGGTCACATTTTGATTTCTGCAAGAGTATGCTTAATCACTACTTTGACAAACAAGGCTGGCACATCTCAAACAGCTCAGTCCAAGTTCCAGGCATTGCAGAGGAGTGGCTGGTTGTGTACAATTAATCGGGTGTTATTTATTAAGCTGGCAGTGGGAGACAGTCTGCAGCACAAAGCTCTGCGCCACCCAGCAGGTCACAATCCCAGTGTTTTAGTTTCTCAGCATTGCTGGATTGCCGCTGTTTAAACAGCAAAAGCAGACCTTGACCCAACATCTGCCATGAAAAGATGGAGAAAAGGAGCGAACTTAGTCCTTCAACTTTCCTGACTCCAGCTAGCGAGTAATCTACATACCTCTCATTAGCTGCAATCTGGGAACTCTCAGTTGCTTTTAATTCTTGGCGTGGTGAGCGTCAAGACCCCAGCATGACAGGGAAGTAAATGCTGTGACTGCAGCTCTGCTGGGCCCCTCAAAATACACAACTACTCGTCATTCGTGGCGGTGGATTCTCCTGTCACTGTTCCTTCGGCTGACAGTGCCACGTTACACACGGTATGCTATTCAAAAAAACGGTTGTCTACTAAAACAGAAAACAAAAGACTTCCTGCTTTTGTCAGCTGAACTGAAACAGACAGTTTTTAGTGCTGCACAGGAGATTAGTAACAATAAAAACAGGTAAACAACCTCTTCTCTCCTTTTACAATAGACATGAGGCCCGCGGATGGACCTTATTTAAAGCAGAAACCTAAATGCAGTGGAACAATGGGTATTTGATAATCATACCCCAATACAGAAAAATCTGTGCCTTGCCAGAAATGCTAAATGCTGTTTTGACATCTCCGTCTTAACCTTCGATTCTTCATTGTGGAGAGCTCTGTACTCCTTGTAGAGACATAGAGTTTTGTTTTTGTGGGTTTTTGGTTTTTTGGTTTTTTTTTTAAACTCTGTGCTTCCTGATGAAAGCTGGCACTCAGGGGCAAGTACATGAAATAAAAAGGAATCTTACATATCTTTTGCAGCCACACACTGGAATAAAAAATAAGAAAAATCCACTGAGTATGTGAAGGAGCCAGTACCTACCTGGTTCAAGGAAAAAGGGTACGATTCCATGAACAGCATTCTCAAGGCTCTATCAACACTGAAAAAAAAATATACAGTCTTGACTTTTCAACCTTATCCCATGAATCCATCCCACATCCTTGTGCTTCTAGCCTCATTTCCCACAGAGAATGAGATTTCTGTGATCATGCCATCTGGCTGTCTATCAGCCAGTATGTTCTGAACCTGCTTTCTATCAAACTGACAGAGGGAAGGGGGCTCAAAGAGAATTAAGTGCCGATGAAATTAATGAAAATCAGCAGCTGGGTGAAAGACGGAGACCCAAACGAGTGCCCTTGCTCAGGGAAAGGTAAGGCAGAACGCAGCCGTTTTCCACGGTGCTTGCTAATGTCAGTCATCACGTGTGCGGCTCTGGACTCAGCAGAGCAGATGGTGCTTCTTGCTCAGCGAGATCGAGGGCTTACATTTGGTGTGGTGAGTGGTATGGGCAAGGGAGGGAGAGGAAGAGGTGATAGGACACACCTGTAGGAAAGCAGGTCTCATTAGGTACACAGAACAATGTGTTTAATGATAAATGCCCGCTCATTCACATAACCGTGCAGCTCCTGCGGTTCCTGAGCACCCTGCGAAGATTTCATGGAGAAGGCTGGCCGGCAATCACTGCCTCTTCACTCCCACACCCGAACCCATCCCGCTGAGCTCCCATTGCCTCCACTGCCCAGGATGGGAGCGAAACTTGAAGCAGCTTCCCAGGCTCTGGAGATAACAGGCTTGCTCTTTGAAACCATTATAAAGGGGATTAAAAGTTAGGACAGAAAGTACAGCCCTGTTCAAAGTTTCCCTAAAGAAAAAAATCCCAACCAGGGAAAGTTTAGAAGCCAAGTGATTTCTCCTTCCCCCAGCAAGGGGAGTTTCACTTTTTGTTTTTCCTGTCTCCCTCTCTTGCTTCACACACTGTGCTGAGGAACAGCAGCTGAGCTTGCAAATACTTCTGGAGGAAAAGGGCTGTTTTCCTTGAAGCTATGCCTGTCCTAGAGGGAAAAAAAGTCCCAACTCCTGTATTTTGCCCAACCAAGGAAGAATGTTGTTTAACATCACCTTGGCAAGCGTGTGCGGCATGTACGTTTCCCAGATCAAGACGAAGCATGACCCTTTATTCTTCCTTTCGGTGCACTTCTGTGTGGGCAAACGTGTGACCTCAGCCTTTGGCGTGCCGCAGCTCCATCTGGTCAGGGCATTTGGGGGAAGATTGCTGTGGGCTGACCCACAGCAGGGCCAGGAGCTGGCTGTGGTTTGCTCACTTGGGGGTTTCCCCGCAATGAAAGGGGAGGTAGAGAAGGTTTTAGCCGCTTGGCTGGTTGATGGAGGGTAAATATGTGAGACTCACAGAAATAGGCACTTGGAGAAAAAAGCTGAGTGCCCTTCTTGGAGGTGGGCTTGATGTGTGACTGGCTCACGGGGACAGGAGAGCCATCATTTTAGTGAAGAACAGATGTGAAATGGATTAGCTGGAGCCCTCTTCTCTCCAAGATTTCCTTCAGCAACCCCCTGTCACTTCTGTACTCTCAAGGACTGTATTATTTCACGCAGGAGAAAGAACTGAGAGGTCAGGATTTGCTCTCCCTCTGGAGAGAGCCACTGGGATTTGCGTTTTACTTGTACCTATCTTCTAAGTAATGGATTGAGGTCCTTGAAATGGGAAAACAAAAAGAGAAAAATAACACTTAGAGCCTGCTATATTTACTATGCCGGTCAATGATAATAAAAAAACTTTAAAAATAAGTAGGCTATTTCTACAGCGAGGTCTCTGGTGACATTACCATCTGACTTCCCTCGCAGAACAGGTTGGAGTTTCTGAAAGCGTTACCCACCCACAGCATTTACGCATCTGAGCTGGACATTTGCATGCTGAGGGCTTGTCAAACTGACTTCTTCTCACAAAGTTTTCCAGAGGTGATTTGGCTTTAGGGTGCCCAGCCTGGCGTGGCTGCCAGGCACCTGGTTTTCAAAAGGGACTGACCATACACACTTCACCCACCAACACCTGAAAACCCCTCTCCTAAATGGCTTCCCTCCATCATGATCTCAGCAGCCTAAAGAGAGCAGCCAGAAATGTTTTCCAAAAATAACGTCAGCTACTTTCAGAGTTTCAGGATTTGTAAATGCTTCTGTGATTGACCTCAGACTTCCTCAAAAATTCTCCAAGGGGAAACAGCTCTTACAGATCACAAGGAAAGGAATTATTTTTTCTTTTTTTTTTTTTTTTTTTTTTCAGATATTCAGAGGGGATGTCCAAATGATTCCTCTTCTGGGAGCTGCCTTGATTTTTTTTAATGAGGAAATTTTCCATCATATAATTTGGTAGAATTATGTCATTCTAGCTGCCTCTGCTTGTCCTGAAAATGACAAAATACACTAAGAAGAGATGCTGGTTCTACGCAATGAGTGTTTTCATGAGGAGTTACACGTGTAACGCTACAGAAATACAGTTTGTGCTGCTCAATCATGCTGTAAATTCCTGCTCCAAGTCACAGCATCCTCGTGGTGTTACAGCCTGGGGGCTTAAATGTGGTTTCAGAAATGCCACCGCGTACAGCCAGCCTTTGCACAGACACTGTTCTGTTAGAGCTGCAGAGAGAAGGTTGTGAGGGGGTTTCAGGAGGCTGACAAATCCTTTCCCTGGCTGTTTTGTCACTCGAGAGAGATATTCCTTCAGTGCTGATTTTGATGTCCTCAATGTTGACCCACAGTGCCCCACGATCAACCTTATTTCTGTTCAGATCAGCACAGAGGGGGGAAAAAAGAAGAAAACAAGGGAGGCGAGGTGCTACCAGTTCAGGCGGTTGCAGCAATGGGAGTGACCAAACAGAGTGAACGGGAGGAGCACCAGCTCCTCCCATGCAGGGATTTTCCCTGTGAGAGGGAACTTCAAGATAAGTCGTCTGGGGGATTCCCCAGTCTGCCTCCAGAAATATCACTCTAGAAGCCGTAGCAGTCTCACTCTGCTCTCGCAGCCCATCCTGTGAAGAGGCACGCTGCTGCTGCTGCTGCTCTGTGATTTGAAGCAGCAAAAGCCATGTCTTTGGCAGTCTACACTCTGCTCATCATTCTCTGCAATGGTAAGTGGGGAGCCTCGAATTTTTCATTCTGTTTTTTTCACATTTATTGTGTGGGGATATGTTTGGGGAAGGCGGGAAGGATTACCTAGGCAATCTCTTTTAATGGTGATGTGTACCTGTGCTTTGCAGTTTGGTGCTTGATCCGTGGGGCTTCCGTGGTGGTGCCAGATGTTGCTGTGAGATGTGCTGAAGAAGCGCTGCTGCCCTGTAAAGCTCTTCGGGACTCCTCTGTCACCTACCAGGCAGTGTCTTGGTATAAAGTAAGAAAAAACCTAATTTACTTGAGCAGTCTGCTTTGCTTTCCTACCTGATAGGGGCTTGTCTTGTACAAAACGAGTTATTTTATGAAGAGGCATCCTCCTGTCAGTGCAGCAGAGATAAGGCAGCAGGGAAAGCATTTGAGCTGATCACGGAGAACAGGCGTTTTCCATGTCACTGTAGACAGACTGTTTGAGCGTGATCCTTGAATTGCTCTTGGCTTGCTTTTCTAGCAAACTATTTCTGGTCTCCAGGGATGAGAATTCAGGTCTTTCCCCATGTACAGCCTGCCAAATACCACTCCGAAGAGGAGTCTTTCCAGGATTTTTGTTCGGAATAAAAATTGGTATTTAAACCGTGCAATGTCAGTGATGCTGTTCCTTGGTTAGTCTCCCCTCAAGCAGGAGCTGATTTGTTTTCTTCGAAATAGAAGAACTGAACAAACATTTGCTATTCTTTAGGAAGATTTAGCTAGTGGGGATGGGCATAAGGGCAGGGTATGCAGAAGGCAGATGGAGAACTAGAAATGGGACTCTTTGCAGTCACCAAGTAAAAGTGACATCTTGGCTGCCCTAGTTCAGAATTCCCATCTCCAAAGCAGGAGAACCATGCTGACCGGCTCTTTGCAGGGGGGCTACAAGGATCAGTCAGCTTATGAGCAGAAAGTTCAATGCTTTCAAGGTGAAATTTCTCATAGAAAGAGAGGCAGAGTTGCCCAGTGGTTGAAGAAGTGGCTGTTGACTTGCTGTATGGCACTGTGTATTTGCATCTCAGTGCATCGTTTTGGCTTAACAGTGTGAGCCAAATTAACAGGAAACAAAAGGAAGGTTTTGTTCTCCCCTGTTCCTCACTCCCAGCCATGCTCTCCAAGGGCCAGTCCTGGTGGTCCTCTGGTTGTCTGTCAAGTCAGCTCGCTGTTTGTTGTTCTAATAGTGGAAAAATCAATCCGTGAATAAAGATTTTGTGGGTTACAGAGTTGAATTACTTTCCCATGTGATGGGAGAGCAGTGGAAAAGAAAAAACCCCTGTTTTTGGTGGGCGAAAACTGTTAATTTATCTCTGCCAGAACATAAAGCCACAACCTTGGCTTCCCCAGTAGTTTGGTCAGATATAGTTTTAAAATTATTCCCTGTGGTGAACTAACAAACAGCATTCTTAGATAGGGCTGCTGTGGTTGAAACCTGCAACGCATCTGAATTTCAGTGCTGGTACAACAATGAGCATCTGCCTACTGACTAGATGACAACTGCAACCCAAAGGTACCTAATTCTGAAAGAGTTGTTTTGAACATACGGCTACCAGCCCATCAGCAAGTGCAGCATCTATAGCCCCCTTCTTTTTCCAAAATGCATGGGTGGGAGATACAGAGGAGAGAATAATGCATTTGGTTGAACAAAATTATGGGAGCTGGGACAAGAGTCAACTTATTCTTTTTTTTGCTTTCTGCTTCAAAGGCTGGGTAAGGACATGTATTTTCCATACAGATACACGCTGATTATTTAAAGCCCCATGTTTCCCATGGAGTCCAGGCAGGGCAGGGAGCTCACTGCAGGCAAACCCTGCAGTCTGGTGGAGCTGGTGGAGTAAAAAAAAAAGGGTGGCGGAGGAGAAAACAGAGAGGTTGACTAGATCCCTGAAAATCCTCCCCCAAACCAGTGTTGGAAGTCAACAAAAACAAAAACAGTTTCAGCAGGCTGAAGTGTGGGGATCCTCCAGAAGCTTGTCCTCCTGAGTTCAGTGCCATCCGGAAGGGCTGGGCAGCAAACAGGAGCCAAAAGCCGTTGCCCTGATGCAAGTGTGCAAGAAAACCCTGCAGATGCAATTCTGTGTTGTCTTGTAGCTCTTTGCAGTCCCACCTGGGCCCAAAATGACTGCACATGCAGGGGAGGGTGATATTTGATGATGCCTTTTGTGCGTCCCCTTTTCTCGACAGCCCTCATTCGTGCCGCTTCCCTTTGCCACGGCACCTGCCCTGCCCTGTCCCACTGATCTTCTCTCCATCCATGGTCTTCTCACTCTTCCTGCTTTATCCGTTTCACTTGAGAAAAGACTGTTTTTGCAGTGTCCAACATGACAGGACCTTATTCTCTGTTGGCACTTCAGAAACTACAAGAAGTAACAAAATCTAGCTGTCTTCAGCCCTTGCCACCATCCTCTGGGGCTGATAACACCAACCATGGTGCCGCAATCTTCTGGTTACTCATCCCAGGAGAGAAGTGGGAAGTGGGGACAGGCAGTTAATGTCACTCTTGGAGGTGTTAGCCCAAGCCACACTCGCAGCCGTATTAGGAAAAGCACAGCCCCAAAGCCAAAAAAAGGAAAAAGTGATTTAGGCTCAGAGGTTTGTGCTGAAGAAGCAATACTTTTACTAGATAAACAGGCAGCAGCTTGAACTATTCCCCTCTCCTCTCCCTGGGTTGGCTGTGTGCTGCTGTCCCCATCCAACCCTCCAAAAGGTGGGTGGGGGTATGGTGGAGTGTGACTGGGCTACCCAACGCGGAGAATTACGCTGTTATTTAAAAAACAGCTACTGGAGGATTAATCAATAAACACCCCTATACCCCCAAAGGTCTAATTAAAAGGTAATTCCAACAAACGGTATGGAATTTCAGACTGTAAAGTTCAAGCAGCTGTTAGGCTAAATCTCATGTATGAGGTCACTTTGAACCGTGCAGTAAATGCGAGCAATTAACCTTTGCTTCTGCTGCTTGAAAAAAAAAAAAAAATGACGGGGACAACATTACGGTGCTGCATGTGCAGCTGTTTGTGCAGGGTGGATGCTCTGCAAACTGTCCCCTCCTTCCTACCCGCACCTCTGCATGCTCTGGCCAATTAAAGGGGGCTTTTAATTAGTTTGCTATGATCTGCTTAAAAAAAAAAAAAAAAGGATGCTATTTAAAAGTACTTGATTTTTTCAGTTTTGTATGGAGAAATAATTGTTTAAATAAGTTAATATTCTGGTGTCAAAATCCTTCTGGATGTAAAAAGGAAGGGTTCCTTTCAACAGCTCCTTTCACCATGTGGCCATGAGAAAATTCGTGAGTTTTCATAGCGATGGTACCCTTTAAAGGAGGTCCGTTTTAAGGAGCGCTGGGCAACTTCCATGCCATAAAACCGTGTATGAGCAGTGTGGAAGTTTGCCAACTTGAAAAATTGAAAAATTGGTTATTTTTACAAAAAAACCCAAACACTGGGAATTGTGTATGAAAATATTGAATCTCTGTGGCCCACCCATGAAACAAGAAGCTGGGTAATGAAACTTGACTTACCTTTCTGCCTCATAGGGCTACTGAAAACTGAACAGTTTCTCTTTGTGTGGTACATTGAAAACGAGAACCTTTTTATAAAACCTCATAATTATCACTTCATATCCAGTTTGAAAACCAAGTTGAAACTCACACGCATGAAGTCCCAGTGGATATTTCGCTATTTGTTCATATGATAGCCAGGAAAGTCTTAATCTAAAACAAATCGTGAGGAAGAGGAAAGATGGCTGTACTTCAGTGGACAGAAGTCTGTTAACTTTATAGCACTTCCCTGAAAATATAAAATTGTGGCAGATTTAGAGGGGGAAGTCATATTGCAAAATAAGTATAAATCTTAGAGACATTTTACATTAATCACACCTTCCTTCAAAGGAAATTACTTTTGCTAAATGTGCATAGCTATTATCTATTAGTGTAGGTAAATAGTTGCTAAATTACTTCTGTCTAATTTCTAACATACCTGAAGAAATGCAGTGAAATGCTCCTCAGACATCTATTCGGCTCCAAGTAGCTCCAACACATTGATGATTTAAACAAGAAGGGAGCAGTGGAAATTATTTCATAACAAAAACAATTCTCTTGCCTGATATGAGCTAGCACTGGATGGCCCTAGCTAAGGAAAAAAAAAAAAAAAAAAGAAAAAAAAAAAAAAGAGGCTGTGTGAGTGAGTCAGAGGGCTTTTCCAGCTGGCTCATGTGTCACATGCAGTTCCTTCGCTGTTGTTTTGGGGCTGGGTTTTGGTTTTTCTTTTCTTCTTTTTTGCTTCCCCTCTAAAGCACCGTCAGAGTTCACTCACATGTGCCCACAATTTATATCTGTTTTTTTTCAAATTTAACATTAGTATCTACATGATACTGTATAGGAACCATATGGATGCACCTTCAGCACTAATCAAATGTGAAAGTGCTTTTGTGCTGAAAAATACACCTATTAAGCAGTTTCAGCTCAGTTGTGATTCATTATATGTTGGCTATCAGCCATGGCCAGAATTCTAGATATTTTGCATCAGAAAATTAAGTCCTTCTGGCTGTATATAGTTTTTGAGATCTCTTTAGCAGTCAGAAATTTCAACTTGGCCATTATTCCCGGTGTAATTTTAAACAAAACCATTTTTACAATCATCCCACTCTCAGAAGAAAATAAATTAATGTTAATACATTCCACCTTTCAACTGACATGAGTTTTGGACTTGAACCATTTTTTCTGAAATAAAAATTCACTTTTATGGGAAAACTGGATTATATTGGCACTTTAGTTTACCTTGGAGCCAATGTACCACCTTAGCCTGGGAAAAGCTCGATGAGAAAAGGTATTTAATGAGAGCAGAGAACACAAATTAACAATTGTTTGCTCTCACATGTACCTGATAAGTTTTAATTGATTAGTTGAGTGTAAAGTACTACAGCATGTGTAAATTGCCTTTCTTTAGTGGAACTATCGTGTTAATGCTGTAGCAGTTTTCAAAACTGCAGCTAAAACTCAGCCAGCTAGGACCGAGAAAAGTGGTCCTCCTTCTTCTTCCACCTTGTTTTTAGTTCTCTGAAAAAGAAATATTTGCCGAAGAGCACTTAAATTTTGGAGGCCTTATTATTCTAATTATTTCTTGTAATTCGTCCATTCAGAGAACAGAAATGTATCAGCTCAGTCGTATTTTCCATCAAACCTATCCCATTTTAATTTCCACTCTATCATCACCACTACTCTTACCAAAAAGCTCCAGGCTAGGAGAAACTTAACAGGAATCAGTCAATTGACTAGAGAATACATGTGGGAAAATCACAACCTCATTAGACCAAGTGTTTCCAAGCTTTTGGGAATTCGAATAACTTTGAATTAAACTCACTAAAATAAGGCAACTAGAGCTGGTTGCTCAGGGCTGTGTCCAGGGTTTTGAATATTTCCAGGGATGGAGACTCCCCACCCTCTCTGGGCAGCCCATTCCGGTGTTCAACCACCCCCACAGTAAAAAAAGGGGTTTTTTATGTTTAAGTGGAGTTTCCTGAATTTCAGTTTGTGCCTATTACCTCTTGTCTTGTCTCTGGAGGCCACTGAGAAGAGTCTGGCTTCAGCTTCTTTTTCCTCCTGGCAATCAGGTACTGATTGATAAGATGCTCCTGAACCTGGTCTCCTCGAGGATGAACAGTCCTGGCTCTCACAGCCTCTCCTCATATGTCAGATGCTTTGTAGCCCCTTGCTGGACTGCCTCCAGTAGGTCCATGTCTCTTGTGTACTGGGAAGCCCAGAACTGGACTCAGTATTGCAGGTGTGTCTCACCAGTGCTGAGCAGAGGGGCAGAATCACCTCCCTTGACCTGCTGGAGATGCTCTGCCGAGTGCAGCCCAGGAGGCTGCTGGGCTTCTTTGCCACAAGGGCTCATTGCTGGCTTATGGCCAAGCTGCTGTCCACCAGGACACCACGGCCTTTCCAGCAGGTTGGCCCCAGCCTGTTCTGGTGCTGGGGGTTACTCTTCCGCAGGGGCAGGACTTGGTGTTTCTATTTGCTGAACTTCATGAGGTTCCGCTCAGCCCATGTTCCCAGCCTGTTGAGGTCCCTCAGGATGGCAGCACGACCCTGTGGCATATCAGCCACTCCTCAGATTTACGTGTCATCTGCAAACTTGCTGAGCACCTCTCTGTCCCAGTGTCCAGGTCATTAATGAAGGTGCTGGACAGTGTCAGCCCATGGGGGTGGCATGTCCTGTCATTGCTGTGGAGGGGATGGAAAACACCAGAGTTAGCTGCTGGCTGATTTCTGAAAAAAGCCCGTCACAAATGTTGCCACTGGCCCGTGTATATGTCACAATAAACATAAAACCCTCACATTTCTTTTGTTGTGTAATTTCCTTAATGGGTAGTTTTATGCAGATGATAGGCGGAATGATGCTGCCAGCCTGCAGGTCCCCAAGCAAAAGTCTTGCTTCAGTAACCCCCAGCATGGCAACGAGACTCTTTTTTATGCAAACAGATTCTGTAGCATTCCTAAAAAAATCCCCGCACGAATCATGATTTGCCTTTTGAATTTGGGTAAAGCCATTAACAGCAAGCATGGGAGGAGGAAAAGACCACCTCCCTTTCCTCCTCCCCTTGGCGGTGGGGAGCAGGGGGGGCTGGCGTGCTGCAAGTCGCTTGCCGGCACCGCGGAAGGGAAATGAAATGCAAACGAAATGCGGGTGGAAAATATTTTGTCGCTGATTAAAGAAGAAGATGGTTCCTACACAAGTGGATTGCTGCCACCGACAGCACTCGCTTCAATCCCTCTAAGCTCATGTGGAATTAATTAGGTAAAACCCCTGGCAGTTACCTTGGGCTGTGGTATCACCTGAAGGACCCTTGGCGTGAATTAGTGGTGGATTATCATAGGAGCTTGAGCTGCAAAATGATCTGTCTGGTGAGAGTCTGCCAAGCAATTCACAGGAGGTGGCAAATGAAGTGGCATTTTCGTAATTTTAATTAGGTTTGAGGGGAAAAGAGGTTAGCTGGAATAGAGCAGGAGGCAGCATGATGACCTTACCGAACATCTCATGGACTTGCTTTTACACAGCTGGGATACGGGGACACACTCTGCAAATCTGCTCAGATGTTTCCTTGCTACTTAGAGAATTTTAAAAGGGGGGGCGGGGAGGGGTGTGGTGTGGTGTTTTGTTTTTTTTTTTTTTTTAAATAAGGTAATAGGAGATAAAATTGCAGTGGAAAAAGGCTTGTTTCAGGCATCGAAGTGCTGCTGTGCCCTCTGAGCAGGGATGTAGAGGCTGGGAAGATGCCACCAGGTGTCTCTGCAGCCTAAAAAATGTGGGGAGGCTGCTGGGGACTGCGGCACTGCCGTGTCTCTGGGCAAGGGGGGATCGGATGGGGGAGGAGCCCTGCAAACCCCAAATTAAACCCATGCGTATGAACTGTTCCTCCTCCTCCCCAAATGCAAAGGTTTGCGACCCCCAGCCAGATTGTGAGTGGTTTCTCCACAAGTGAGGGAACCAGATTGGGCCACAAAGTTAATTTTTCTTTTATTTTGGGGAAAGGCATGTTGTTAGTGCAGCTCCATGGACCGTGCTTTCTTTCAGAGCTCTGACTTGCTTGTCTCCAGGGTCACTGTCACTGTACCTGTAGCAGCAACTATGCTTACATTGAGCACCTCAGAAAGCTTCAGAGGCAATCATCAGTCCTATCTCTGTGTCCCCATAAGATAGGGGAGTTAAATCATTTACCAGAGATCTCACTGGGAATAAGTGCATGGTCAGGGTTAGGATACACAGACTTAATTTACTTCTCCCTTATCCTAGCAGTGGTGATTGCAATTGCATACAGAAAGATCAGTGTTTTTTGACTCCCAGGTCTCAGCCATAAGAAGCAGAGCACCATTTACCACCCGAGACAGCAATTATTTATGCTACCAATGAATTTACAAAAAAAAAAAAAAAAAGAAAAAAAAGACTAATTTTCTGTGTGCAGCTCAGACCTCCTCTCTGCATTTTAGGGCAATGCAAGGGACAGCCAAGCTGGTTCTCTTCATTGCCCTGTGGGCAGTTGGAAATTTCACTGAGGAAGGGAGTGGGAAGGGAAGGGAGGGTGGCAAAAATTAGATCTGATGGAGGTCAACTCGATCCACTTAACTGCTATTGACCCACGTGTAACCAGAACTGAGCCCAGCCTGAGTACTGGAATTCCTCCGGCCACATCTCTGATGATGTGCAGGGCCTGAAAGGAGCCCTGTAGCACCCTGAAGTCCCTATAGCCTGAAAAACCACTTCTTGTCTCATAGGTGTTTGGGGTTGAGAGTAATAAGAAAGAGAAGCCAGGGTAAATTTGCTAGGGGATTAAGAGGAAGAAGGTACTTTCTTCCCTCTTTGCTGGCTAAAGTGTGGAAAGCCCCAGGGAATTCCTGCTCCGTGTTTCAGTTGATGTGCTAAAAAGCCCCCACCTTTCTGAGAAAGGATCTTTACAGTTATGAAAATCTCGTGCTTTACACTGATTCCCCAGTTCCTGAAAAGTTCCCCCGTTTGCAGCTTGTTTTACACCACCTTAAGGCTGTGAAAGTAGCAAAGTATGATGGAGCATCAAGCCTGTATTTGTCTCCAGATTCCCGCATACACTTTCTTTATGTAAATACGGGAAAGGAAAAACAGGTACTCCTGGCCTCAGTATGAGAAAATTGTGTTAATTTTAATAACTGGCAGTGTAACTGCGATACCCCGATGCAGTAGCTATGCTGACAGAAAGTAAGTGTCGACATGCAGCCCAAAAATGTGTCTATTAAAATAAAGTAATAATAATAAAAAAGCCTTGGCTTACATTAGTTATAGGTTTGGCTGAAGAGCTGAGCCTTGGACTGTACGAGCCAGGTCTGGCTCTGCTGGTCCACAGAAAGACTGAATTCATTCCTCGGGAAACCTTCCTGGAGGGTACGCTGCCTCGAATCCCAGGGAGCAAAGTCAATGAATAAAAATGGACACGGGCTAATTCAAACCCTTCTCCCATCTTTCAGATCAAGTTAGGGATTTCTCTCTTCTTTGCGGTTCCCAGCCAATTGTCATTTTCAGTGCATCCCATCGCCCCGCAGTACAAACTGTTCTGGGAATACGCTTCATTCCTCCAGCAGCCTCTCAGCAATGCCAAGGAATGCAGCTCTTCTGGTTACAATTAAGAAATTCAACATACAAATGCTCCCCAAGCGCACCAGAACCTGCTCGTGACCTTCACGCAACCGAATCTGAAGGAGTCAAAGCGAATTTTTTTGTTCTTTGGTTCCAATAAAGAGCAGAGGGGAGGGGAGAGGGGGAAGCCCCCCGTTCCTCTGGAGAGGCACCACTGTTTCAGGGGTCAGCTGCACAGAAATTGGCACTGCAGGGTCGCTGGGACGAGGCCAGCCTGTCCTGCCAGGCGTGCCTGCTGGGTGGGCAGGTTTCATTCCCGTCACTGCAGTGTGCTGGCAGTGCTGGAGCCTACCTGCCTGCTGCCACGCTTGCCTGGGGACCTCTGGTCCCCAAAGCCACCGCGGAGCATCTGGGTAGGGCTGCCTCTTGCTGCCTCAGCTCCATCCCCGTGGAGCGTCTCTGTTTGAACTCCCGTGGGACTTCTGCAGAGACACTTCTACTGCTGCCTTTTATCACATTACATCTCTACCAGGATTGTGTCCAGGTGAGGCAGATTAAGAAGCTATTACAGAATAGCTCTATAGAAGCTATTTATAAATATAGTGTCTATTCAAGCAAAAAACCAAGAATTTTTTGGTTGTGAACATGAACGTATTAGATGCTTTTGAGGTCCCGCCCTCGCCTCTCTTCAGCCTCTGCATTTTCAGCTGTAAGCTGGCTTTAAAGCCCTCTTTACCCCTCAAACTCAGGATGACACTGTTGCCCAAGACAAGAAATATCTTTGTGTTTTCCAGATGTCTGGAGATGGTGAAGGAATAGCATGGAAAGTCCTTGATGTGGAATCTCATTACCCAAAAGAACTCGGGGGGTCCCTGGAGCTCTCCAACGACACCTTCTTTTCACTGAGGATTAAAAACACGACCAGGCGAAGCAGCGGGACGTATAAGTGCACTTTGGGGGAACAGAGTGGAGAACGCAATCTGAGCGGCACGGTCACGTTAGAAGTAACAGGTACAGTATAGACCCTTCACTGTCCTATGCCCCACGTGGCATTTCGTGAAGGCAAAAGTTTAAAAATATTTTACAAATGCCAGGACAATAAAACACCTCACTTTACATTTCAGGTTGTCCTGGAACAGAAGATGAAAAATTAAAAAAATACAAAGCCGAGCTTTTCATGCTGACTTGCCTTGGGATTTTTTACTTGCTGCTCATCATTTTTACCTGTGTAAGTAGTTCTCTTTCTCATAAACAAACCAACCAAAACCAACAAAAAAAAGCCCACTCGTTTTCTCTGTTAGCATCACCTTAACACAGCAGGTCAGAAGTTGGTGTTCATAATTTATGACCAAATCCTTTAAATACTCACACAGTATTTTCAAAGCCAGAGGAAACTTGGGTGAATGAGGAACACACGATGGAGTGCCAAAGAGCTAAAACATTTCGCTGCACCCTGATGTAACTCAAACCAGACAGTTATTTTCCTGCACCCTGCTGCCCATTTCTGCTTCTGGTTACTCTGAGTGCAAGCTACTCTTCAGTTTAAGGGTCTTTGGTACTTGTGAACAGCATTTGCCCGAGATGGAGGCACAAGCCCCTGGGATCCCTTCCCCACCTGTGCCATTGCTTTGTGTGGACAAATTCAAGTCCACCCATTTTTTGCCTCATCTTCCATACCTGTAAATTGGTGACAACCCCATTTCAGATGGGCATTTTTTGCAAAGGTCTGTCTTTCTTGTTAAACAAACTTTAAAAAATCACAGAATCATAAAAAAGTTTGAGTTGGAAGGGACCATGGAGGTCATCTAGTCCAACCCCCCTGCAGTGAGCAGGGACAAGATCCTTGGAAAAGAACCTCCTTGGGGCTTTATCCATCCCCTTAACACTGGCTGGTAGTTCTGGGAAGGGTGGGGAGAGGATGTCTTTGGGAAGCACACTTCACAGAAGCAAAACCATGCTTTGTCTGCGGCAGTGGTGAAGTCACCCCCTTGTTCCGAGGTCTGTGCCTCTGGGCTTAGAGGGAGCATGAGCCACGGGTACGGTGCAACACTGGCTGCATTTCTAATCAAAACTAATGCCAGCCTTTTGGGAGGTCAGATTTAACTTCTGTTGCCTATTTCCTATCTGCCTGCTTGTTTTGCTCCTCAGCAGATGAATCATAACTGTTGATTGGAGAATATCTAATTAGCTGCAGCTAAATGTAGCTTTTCATGTACCTTCAGGGAGCAATTAAATTTATGCCTGTCTCTTTGTTAGATTGACAATCCTGCCAGTAATTTGTGCCATTCAGACTAAAGTTTGACAAGCTAAATCTTGTAGGAATTTGTTAGGATGAAAGTATGAAAGCAAGGATATCATTCAGAAGAGACAGATGCCCCTGTTCTGCTCAGTGTCCTGAAAGAATTTCAGATCTCTACAGAAACCTCTCCTTCCTATACGTTAAAAAAAAAAATAATAAAAAAAAAAATTTGCAGCTTTGGTGGTGCAAAGAAAAGCAGAGCCATACAGTGAAGATAACCACTCTGGTGGAATTACATGTATCTGACTCTTGGGTGAGGTCCAGTCTCAGGTATCAGCCTACCTGTCATCAACGTTTAATACTGCCCTGATCTCACAAGTGGCTTTCATTATTTAAAACGCCTGTTAAGTTCTTACAGGTTGCCTTGTCCTCTCCTCTACTGGGGATTGTGCCTAATCTCCCCTAAACTCGACAGCGACATTAAGACTGATGTCTGGACTGGGGCTTTACTTCTTTGACAACTTGATGAAAATATTTTGGGCACTGGACTATATTGAAGGCAGGTGGAAACACACTTGCAAGAGCTTGATGCAGACGCAAACCTCTTTATATGAAAACTTGACATAAACTGCTGGTGGCAAACCAATGGAAAAGGTATAATGTATGGTTAGCAAGGAGAAAAGGCAACACTTTTACACTTTTAAAAAAAATTGCCCTTCGTAGGAAAAAAAGTACCCTTTCATAGGAACACTCAGTTTTAATCTTTCCTTTCTATTTTCTGTTTTAGACGTGTCTAAGAAAAGAGAGTATGTCTCCCAATAATCAAAAAACCAGTCCAGATATGAAACACATGCTCACCCTCATCAACGTCCATGAAATGACAACTTTCCAGGATTTAAATGGCAAAAGCGCTTGCAAAAACGGGCTTACTTCAAGTTCTGTCTAAGTTGATGTTGATGGCACTGTGGGCTCATCAGTGAATACGACACAAGCTGGATGGCAGAGTGGTACGGAGAGGAAATAAATGGTAATATATGGCCTCTTCAGAACAGCCTGAAAGAATAGCTAACCTGTCAGTGATCTGCTTGCACTGGACAAGCCTTCGAAAAGCACTGCTATGCACTTTTGGGAGTTAGGCAGCTAATACCATTACAGCTACACAACAGTGCGACGATGCTGTTACAAAGTTGATACCAAGTTTATTTCACTCTTCCTGTTGTGAGCAAGAACACTCCTGTGATATGAAGACCAGGTTATAAGGAGGTTGTGGCAGAGCAAAGCTGGGTGATTAAGCTCCTCACTGAACTAATAGCTCTCATCTTTCAAAAGTGAACACAAGGGGTATGGCAGTATGAAAAGCTAAGAGTGCAGGGCTGTCTCTGCCCCGAGCCTGATTGTGGATGGAGTTCCTTCACTGCAAGTGGGACGTAACTTGTCATGTGATGTTCAAGTAAGCCCAAGAGGTAACCTCATGCTCTTGTCCTGGATGGATCAAATCAACATTTTAAAATCTCAAGAATGACAGACAGGCTGAAATGTAAGAAGGGAGAAAATATTCTGGAAATATTTCTGGACTGAGAGGAACTTTCTATCTCTGCAAGAGAAGTAGGGATGTGGGAGGCGGGGTAGGAACTAGATGGGGTTGGAACTAGATGATCTCTAAGGTCCTTTCCAACCCAAACCATTCTATGATTCTATGATTCATAATGAGTCTATCAGTTATGTCCCAGCGGCATCTCTAGATAGGTCAATCCATAGGAAGCTTCAACGAGAGTGTTAACCTTAAAGCAGCAAAAATAAGAACGAAGCAGCCTGTGATATTAAGGACATGTAAAGATTACTTATTTTGTGGTTTATAAGACATGAAGTCAAATGTATGCAACAGCTATGTCAGTCAAGTTAGGTGAGTGATGACGAAAGCCACGGCTTGGAAGAAGTCAACCATCTGTATCTTTGGGATGTATTGAGTATGCCGACAGATAAAAGAATGGAAAATGGGGCATATGAGCACCTGCTTTGGTGCTGTGTGTAGTGAATTTGAAACAAGGACACGAGATAAGCTGAACTCAGACACACAATATAAAGGAGAGAAGACTTGTCCTCTTGGACTAAGGAAAGCAAGAGAGATTCTGGAATCTGAAATCAAAGAACCTCCTTTCTTGGGCTGCTGATGCAGAAGGTGAAGCAAGAGGAGTCTGGAGTGACTGTGGGTGTTTCTGCCACAACATGAACATTTGAGCCAAAACATAAGACTTTGTAAGCACTCAAAAACACAATCTTAAAAAAAAAAAATCTTCAAGAGTTAAACTGCAACATTAGGATTTTAAATGCAGTTTGGAATTCCAGGCTGTGACAAGGCAACTCTTTCTATAGCTCTTTGACTAATTGTGAAGCGTTGATGGGAGGAAAGCACTGTGCATCCCTCAGCAGTGCCTCTGTGAGCAGGGTTGATGTCTCCATTGCTGGAGTCCTTTTTTTTTTTTTTTTTTGTAATAAATTCTGATATATAAATATGTGTAACATACTTGAAATAAAAATCAGGAAGTAACCTAACATTTGTTGTGTGGCCACATATGACAAATAAACCCTGAAATACTCTGTATGAATTGTATTTTATTTTGCAACCAACATAATTGCATCAAATAATGTAGATGCTCGATCCAGCCTCTTCTGTGTGTATGTGGGGGGGCATGTATGTGTGTAAGCCATTGATTAAGCAATGCATAATTTTATGCATTTCTAAGGAAATCAGATAATTTAAATTCCTTCAAAATTTCACTTTCTGTCCGAAGTACATCCTAAAATGGCTGTTCCCTACTGGCAGGCAAGTCATTACAGAAAACCCAAGGGTGTTTCAGTCTATCCATGGTCACTTTTAAACATGACGCACCATCACAGGGGACCTGTACGTTTAGGTGGCAATAATATGAACTAAATGTGCATGTATAATAACTGACCTAGGGTACATCAAGTTTCTCCATTTGGTCAGAAAGGCTTAGTAGCTGGCAGTCATAGGGTTTTGTTTATTTTTAAATTATTATTACATTTTTTTTAGGAGAGTGGACAAGAGGAAGGAAGGAAAAAATCGTCAGCAAAGGCTGAAACACTTAAAAAATTATTTCTTCAGAAGTATAAATAGGATCAAATCAGGTGGGATGGAATGAAAAGGACTTTGTGTAAAGAACTATGCCCGTTATTTTTTTCCTGAGCCAAACCATCTGCAATACAGAAGATTGGGGCTGAGGCACCAACGCGGGGAGTCAAATTCCAGGCTGAGAAGTTTTAGGCTGGTTGATTCTGGGGATTTGCTGTAGGTCCAGCTGTGCAGGAGAAGCGATCACATTCAAGGCCACTTAAATGTGTTAAAGAATTTACAAGGAGTAAGCAGTGAGAAAGTCTTATGCTGAGATGCTTGACTGAGTAACAGAGCCGGAGAGAAAGAGGCAACATCCTAAAGCGATGAAGGTACCTGAATGTCTGGGGTGTAAAGGGCGTAAAGAAATGGTTATGACATTGTAGGATGAAAACTAACATTAGCTGGAAATATTACGAATGAGAACCAGACAACTGAAGGATATAAGCTAATATACTACAGTGACTTCAGCGCTAACAGGAGGGGAAAAAAAAAAAAAAAAAGCACGTCCTAGCTGAAAATCTTACAGAATGAAGTACACACGTTTTTCAGCACAGTATCTCAGAAGGGACAGTCCTTGCCTTGCAATAGGGACCTGTGGATCTAAGTAGCCTATTTCAAAATTACTGGCCCAGCTAGCCCAGCTTAGGCTTTAACACTTCGTTATTAAAAGGAACGCGTTGTTGATTGCACAATTGCGAGGCTGGTTTGATTACACAGATTAATTGCTTTCTTGGACAGAAAAATTTGCTTTATTTTCCACCACTCTTCTTATTATTGATGCCTTTAGTTTTGTAAGATAATATAAAAGCATGTGTGTGTGCTAGAACCAGTCTTTGTAATACTTTCTTACAATGCCTTTTAGAATCAGGAATTCAGATAATCTCAATAAATCCATGAGGTGGGGGATACCATAATCTTTGTTTTACAAATAAAAATGAAGACACCTGGAAATCAGAAAGCTCCTGAAGAAGCCTGGATCAGAATCGGGAAGAGCTCTGAGGTTTCCTGACTCTCCTCTGGGTGCCTTACCGTTTCTTGTGGGTTTTGTAAATTTTTCATTGATTTTTTTTTTTTTTTCCCCCTCTGGAACCTGCATTTTTCTACTGTTTTGTCCAAAGGTGACCCACCTGCATTCAAAGATAACAGTAAGCATTTTACATAAAATTACTCACACAGAGTGAGTTTGTACACCTGTGAGTAAAGAACACACAGAGAAACGCTGCACCACATGGAGAAATCACCCCAAAGAGAAATCGCAGGAGTCATACCCCGGAGCTAGATGAATATCCAAAATGACAAAGAGGGGGAAGCTAAAGGACATAACCCACAAAATGCAGAGTGTATGAACGACAGCCCTTAGCTGATTCATGGTGCTAGCACTTACGTAGCAGATAACCCAGGCTGGCAGTGACCTTGACAGCACCGCAACACTAATATTTTCTGGAAAGGCTGAACAGTTTTCAACCTACTTCTCCTGAGCAGCAGCTACAAGCTTGTATTCAACAACATGGACCAAAGTAATCCTCGGTATGTGCCTGGGAACGATACAAACAGAATACGGCTCTTTTGGCGTGCTGAATGTCTCCCTCCCTTCTTTCTCCTGCCCTTGCTATGGCTATTTTGGAGGCCAAAAAGAGAATTTCCCCGGTGCACGCTTTCCCTTTCTTCCCCCTCTCAGCGCAGAGCCGAGCGGCGATGCAGCGCAGAGGGCATCTGCTTCCAAGTGCATTGAGCAACTGCAAGTATTTAGTGACCTTCTCAACTGATGTGTCTGCCCCTTGGGATCTGCAATTGATTTTCCTCGTCTGTGTACGTGAAGACAATGCTGTAACATTGTGTTACAGCTACACAGCTAACGGTGAATTGGAAGTGCTTCCGCTATACCTCCTTTTTAAATAAATATCAGCAAACCCCCTAATTCTCGGTCATTTGTGGAACAAACTGCTGGGGAGATTAAAGAGTTATGAATAAATGCAACACCGAATTTTTGGGTTGATGGTCTGTTCTCTCTTCACTTTGTTGCCAAGTCCTGTGTTTGCAGTGCTCTGCTTTTCGCTGACCGCAGCTGACATTACTTCTGCGTAAAGCTGCAAGAAGAGTGCCATTAACTCTCTGCAGTGATGATGTAAATCCTGAAAAATTCACCAAGGGGATGGGTGGTGGCAAAACTGACACGGGTCACTGCAAGGAGCAGCGGGTCCTTCAAAGGCTTCATTTTATGTCCAAGTCTTCATAGGAGTCTTCCCACCCTTTGATGGAAAATCTTGCTCTGTCCCTGTGGCCGAGTTACGAGCGCATCTGTTACGCTGCAAATGGGCAGCCCCGTCTGATTTTTTGCTTTGTTAAAACACAGACGTCACAGCCAGTGCAAAAAAAACCCCACCAAAACCCCACCAAAACCAATAAACCCAGCCCTATGGACAGGCTGAAGGCCAGGGGCAACAGCTAAGAGACATGTCCTAAGGGAAGCAGGGATTGCACAAGCCCTGTGCAAACATGGGCTTTGCTCTCTGCAGAGTCTTTCCATTGCTTCTGAAAAGGGAGTACAAACCGCCTGTAGGGAGTGGTGGTTTTTTTTCTTTGTTGTTTTTAAAAACACTTGCACTGTGTGCCTCAGTTTCCCTGTCTATAAGTGGGAGCGAATGATTTCAAGTGTTGTCTTGCGTGAGAGGCAAGCAAACTGGCAATATTTATACCTTATTGCCTACTTGGAGCTGAAAGGGAATTTTTAACCAAGTTGTCGTTCAGGGGAGAGGAGGCTTGAACTGCTGGACATTAACGTTAAGGGAAAAAGGCCCTGCTGACATAAT